AGAGAGAGAGAGAGAGAGAGAGAGAGAATATAGAAATTGTTGGCGATGTTTTGAATCTCCTGTGCTTTTTCTCAGGAGAGGTTGGTGATTGGAAGAACTGGTTCAGCGCGGAGGAGAACAAAATTCTGGAGACGATCCACAGGGAGAAAATGGCGGGAACAGATCTGACCTTCCAGTATGAGTAGTGTCTGTTCATCACTAGGGACCCAAAATGAAACATGCATTCTGTTCTAATAACGCCAGATCTAACATGGTGGGGCGTGATGAGGGTTTTAGTAGTGTCACGTTCGGGCCATATTCGATTTTCATGACAATGAACTTTATTGCATATTCACGCCCTACATGGGATAACTGAGGTATAGGAATTGGAGAAACAAGTGCTACATTACTGTGCTGCGTCTATATCTACAAGATCTCCTATCTCTTAGCTTTTGAAACGAGACTGAACAAATTTACATAGTTTTCCATATAAGAGTACATCGTAGTCCCTTAATGACATCATATGTTTGAACGATTCCCTTTTCGGTAAGTGCGTATATTTCTGTTCTTACTGAAAGGAAATTTAAAAAAAAAACATATTTGATAATCTTTAAGCAGATATTTTGGTAGCTACAAGACAGTATAAAACTGGTAAGGCAGTATCAAAGTATCTTTTAACTGCCGGTGGAGTTAACAATGTGGTCGCAAGGTGACCCTTCATCGGGTCCAGACAAGTGTATGTACACGAATACCATATGGGAGGGGGAAGACATGCTCTAGGACCTCAGAGATGCTACTATAGTTCCCTTTTATAAAAACAAAGGCAGCAAAGCAGATTGTGGAAACTACCGAGGTATTTCCCTGCTGTCAATCGCGGTAAAACTGCTAGCACGCATTATACAGCAAAGAATCTGCCAATTTTGTAATCTAGATTGAAGATGAATGCCATTTTGTAGTTGACTGCACATTATATAGAAATGAGAGAGATTCCCTCTATACTTATGTAATAGATAAGTTCGATTTCCCAAGCTTTAGACATTTAGATAGAATAGAAAAATTAGAATTCCTCATGAAACTTGACAAACCATGTATCATTAGCTCAATATGTTCGTACATCTTTAACTGCGTCAAGAAGCGAGAAGAAGTTGAACCTGTAAATAGTAGATCACATTAGTATAATAATTATATAGTATGTAAGTGTCATAGCTGTAGCTCTTTTTCCTGTTTACCCATGACCTGTACTTAGCTTAGAGCACAAACGCACAATAAAGGTTTTTCATTAAATATTATACTCAACCGCCTAATCACTGTCACAGAAACCCACCTTGCGGAGGCACAGTGTGGCTATCGGTCAGGCCGCAGTACGATGGACATGATTTTTGCGGTACGTCAAGTAGAAGAGAAGTGCAAGGAGCAAAACTTGGTCCTTTATGCAGTTTTCATTGATCTTACAAAAGCTTTTGATACTGTTAGTGGGGAGGCACTCTGGACAATACTCGAAAAGTATGAATGCCCCAGAAAGTTCGTGAATCTGATCAGTCTATTTCATGACCAGATGACAGGCATGGTACTCTGTCGGGGAGAGTCGTCCGAAACATGTGAAATCTCCAACGGTGTCAAACAGGGGTGTGTGCTAGCCCCGATTCTCTTCAATCTGTTCTTCACCTGTGTTCTCAACCAGGCATTGAGAGATGTAAGAGATGGAGTGCACCTGAAGTACAGAAAAGATGGGGTCTCTCTTCGACCTGCGTTGGCTAAAGGCGAAAACAAAGACAGTGGTGACAACTATATTGGAGGCCCTCTTTCCTGACGACTGCGCCCTAGTGGCCCACAAGGAGCCAGTCCTTCAACTGTTCGTCAACAAATTTGCGGGGGCAGTGGACCTCTTTGGACTCACCAAGTTCTGCTTCAACCCGCATCGCTTTCTGTAGTCCGTTGCCCGGGTATCTCAATCGAGGGTACTAAAATGAAGACCGTGGATGGGTTCACTTACCTTGGTAGTGAGATCTACAATGACGGTCCCCTCGACAAAGAGATCAACAGCAGGATCTGTAAAGCCAGCCAAGCACTTGGCAGACTGAGAACTCGAGTCTTGAAACAGCACAACGTTAAGCTATCCACGAAGTTAAAAGTCTACCATACAGTTGTTATCCCCAGCCTCCTGTACGGCTGTGAGACTTGGACTCTGTATAAGGCCACACCAAGTAAATTTTATGGATGACGTCCGCGCGCGCATTGATTTTGGCCTGTTCCTAGAAAAAAACAAGAAATTCTGCTTCCTGTAACTATGACCAAAGAGTCACGACAGTGCCGCAAATCGTCAGATTGACGTGAAACCCGTAACGCGAAAACAGGACAGGACGACAACTGCTGTTTCACCTGATTTATTGCTGTTTTGATGATGAATAAAAGACTTCTTGCTTGTTACACTGTGTCACCTCATTCAATTTGTGTCCTAACATTTGTCGTCTCTTAGTATATTTCTAATCTAGGCATCTTCTTTTTAGGGCCTTTCTGGGTTTTTTTCGCCCTCTCGCATTAGATTTAGGGTCTCCAAAGGACGTCATCCATAAAATTTACTTGGTGTGGCCTAAGAGACACATCAAGCAGCTGGAGCGCTTTCACATGCGCAGTCTGCGCTCAATCCTTGGAGTTCGCTGACAGGACAAGGTGTCTAACCTTGAGATCCTCGATAGAGCAGAAACCACAAGTATTAAAGCTCAACTACGGTGGACAGGACATGTCATTCGTATGGATAACTCCAGGATGTAACTATTATATTTCTATGATAAAAAAATGGAAACAAATAAAATTCTAAAGACTCATAGATATGAGTTTCATAGGTTTGAGGTATCGTAATTCCTGTATTCAGATACACTGAAATCAAAGATTTTTGTACACCTTGCATGCAATAAATCCAACCTGTTCACTTCGGTTTCCTTAACTATAGAAATCCCCATGAGGCAAAAACTGTACATGTATCCCCACTGACACTCGGACCCAAGTCGCCAGGTGGCGCAACGCTGCGGGAATAATTTTTTACAAGCAGGTGTGCGTTTGAAGGCATTGAGTTTGGGACTAGACAGCAGTTATACTATACGGCATGAAAATTCTGCCCCCCCCCATTTACCCTCCAGATAAATTACAGCTAGATGAAACATATTATTTCTCAAGCAACTATAGTATGAACAGCGTTGGCTCTTAAAGGTAATGTAATTCCAGGGCAGCAAATCTTTCAGTATTCTAAATAAGGCCATCTTTGTGATATTGACACATAATGCATCACATTAGGCAGCAATGGTCAATAACGAGCCAACTGGCAGCTGTCCACGATCCTGTAGCAGAACGTCAGATTTTTGTACTGAACATGCCGGGGGCGCAATATTAAAAGTTTTGTATCTCAGGAATAAAATGGTGTATGTTTCCTCCCCCTGGTAGCTTGTTTGGAACGTCTGGTGCATTCTGGAACATTTTTAAGAGGATACCTCATGAAAGAAACAATTGGTTTTCGTGATTTGGGGTATATGGGTAGCTTAGGCCACACCAAGTAAATTTTATGGATGACGTCCACGCGCGCATTGATTTTGGCCTGTTCCTAGAAAAAAACCCAAGAAATTCCGCTTCCTGTAACTATGACCAAAGAGTCACGACAGTGCCGCAAATCGTCAGATTGACGTGAAACCCGTAACGCGAAAACAGGACAGGACGACAACTGCTGTTCCACCTGATTTATTGCTGTTTGTCACCTCATTCAATTTGTGTCCTAACATTTGTCGTCTCTTAGTATATTTCTAATCTAGGCATCTTGTTTTTTAGGGCACTTCTTGTTTTTTTTTTCGCCCTCTCGCATTAGATTTAGGGTCTCCAAAGGACGTCATTCATAAAATTTACTTGGTGTGGC